TCACCCTAGCAGAAGCAGGCCGGGGTGGCGGCGAGCGCGTTGCGAAGCGCGCTCGCTTTCAGGGAGCACAGGGAACATGGGGTTCCCACACGGGGCGGGGGTCGTCTACTCGTCTGTAGATGACCCGAGGTATGTCGGGGCACCAGGGCCTTCCTTTCTAGGGTATACCTGGTTCCCCGGCTATTAGTACCCGGCGAAGGCGTGCGGTTTTAGTCGGTTCGTGTCCGACATGCCACCCACAGGTGGTATCCGAGGGGATTTCCGCACGAAAAAAAAAAAAAAAAAAAAAAAAAAAAAAAGGTACTAACACAAGCGTACCACCAAGAAAACACACACACACACACGTAGATTCATAGCAGACCGCTGTAAGCAGCCTAACCTTCCTGAGACTGTGTTTCTCCTGGTATGTAGCCTACATACCAGGAGACTACAACTAGGCCCAAGAAATAAGAGGCCTCCGTCTTATCCAGGACCACCTTTAAGACAACCACCAAAGAGACACCCCTGGTCCCCCTCCTACCCACAGACAACCAAAGTGTGGTTGGCGTAACAGATTACGCCCAGGCCGGGGGGGGAAGTCTCCTCGAAGGGCCTAATCGTACCCTATGTTCCACAGGAGGGCCCAAGACCAGAGCCCTGTTCAACAACCACATGACATGGGCCGACGTCTCAAAATTGAAACAAAACCTATACCGTCCTTATTATAAAACGTGGACTTAAAAAAGTACCGGCTTTAGTACTAGGTTTAAACCATGACCTTGAATAAACGTTATTACAAAACGAAGTTTATCGCTAGTCCTAGAACTATCTATGGTATCAAAGTTAGACCATCGTGACCCCTAGTTTAACTATGGTACTAAATTGTCAAACGTCAAATTCTTAATTTTGAGGTTCGCTTTCGGAAAGGAATTTGTGATCAGAAACCAAAAAAATGGATATTGATGCAATTGATATGTTTGATTTGGAAGATTTGAATGTGTTGGATATACTAGAAAGTTCCCGGGGACCGAACAGAGTTCGTCAGCGTCGAAATCCATTTGAATTACCTGATGAAGATTTTCGATATAAATATAGATTTAGTAAACGTTTTCGCGAAAGGATTGTCGATTTATTACGTGAGGATTTATCCCACGATCCTCGAGGATGTCCGTTAAGCCCCGAAATGCAAGTAGCTTGCGCACTACGCAACTGGGCTCGCCATGAAGTAAGTTGGTACCTTGTAATGTAATTATGGCTAATGTGCGTCATCAATGATGTATTACTTTATAATTGTTTTTTTACAGATTCAAGACGATACTAGTGACTTTCATGGCGTATCTCAGCCAGTTATAAGTAATAGATGATGTCAGTGCAGCCAGTTCAAAATTCACTACGAGGGAATATTAGAAGGCAGTTTATTGAAACTCACTTTTCATAAAATAACATTTATTAAATATAACTATATTTCTTTTTTGTGATATTAATATATGTATATGTTTAATACATGTATTATATGAATGCTAAAATAAAAGCTAATGATCCTTTATTCATAAAGATAATTATTAATAAATCAAACATAAATTAAAAGTAACTTTTATCTTTAAGAAAATACTAAAATCAGTCCTATAATACTAATGATTATTATGGGGAATATATAACCTGAAAATAATTATGTTATATTATTATGTGATTGTCAATATATTTGAAGTATTTTATTCAATAGGAGATAGATTACATTAGTTATTTATTTGAAACTCTTGACTCAACAATTTATACTTATTTTAATTATAAATTGTATTGATATCAGTCAAAAAGTTACATTTTAATCTTTAGTAATGGTGTTAGTTTTTATCTGAGTCTCCAATAGTGCTATTTGTAATTGTAGCTTTTTAATTTTTAATTTTGATATTTCAACTTGATAGAAGTGCTGGGCTTCCAACATATCAAGCTCCTTTTTTTTTTAAATTCTGTATTACTATTTATAATAGCTTGACACCCTTCTTCATTTCTGTAAAATAAATTCTATATTATTATGTAATAATTAGACTTATTATTTTAGTGTGGTAAGCTTTATTTATATTTTCGTGGTGCCTTGATTGAAATAAAATATATTTTGTTTGCACAGTTTCACTGGTGTAGATCACTGAAAATAATAAATAATATTAATAAAACTAACCTGTATTTTTTCTTATTATGAAATTATTATACCTTGTTTTTCTTCAATACTGGACTCTACATTTTCATCACTTATAATCACTACAATTGGTTCTATTGAGCTATGGCCCACTATGGCCAGCATCAGGGTCATCAAATATTGTTGTTGTTGTATTTGTCATCAGTAACAGGTAAATGTTTAGTAAATTGTCATCATATTATACTCTCCACTATTGTTAACTTTTACTTACCACTGCATCACTAAACACGTAAACATTTCGATTACATTACTCGAATTACGCGCGCCGTCCAGTTCACTCCGTTATACTCATACGTGCTAGCTCGGTAGTTGTTCCAAAACATAACATTAATAATTGGATTGTGAACATGCATTCAAAAAAATACAAGTCGGAATATTTAAATACCTTTAAATAACAAAACTTTAAATTTTACCCCTACAAATAACAATTCATAACATATTTTTCTTTATATTTCGTAACAACATTTTGTTAAAAAGGAAAGGCGCGTAGAACGCTGAACGAATGAATGAATAATTTAAATATTTTGTTGCTTATAATCTGTGGAAAATATTTAGACCAGAGACGATCTTTGGTACTAAGTAGTCCTTTGTTGGTCTACGATTTGTAATACGAATGAAAGAACTAACGTTAGTACCGTAATAAGCTTAGACCTTTTAGTCCTGGTTTAAACCTAGTACTTATAGAAGTTTTTATAATAAGACGGATAGGGTTTGTTTCTTGAAACTTAAAACAAGCCCAAGTAGGGTTTGTTTCAAATTTGAGACTGGTATAACCAACCCGTTTGGCCAGCGTAGCATAGAAAACAAAAATCTCCTTTCTAAGGAGAAGCCCATATCCAGCAATAGACGGTTGAGAATGATGATAAATACCATAAACTAGATAACCTAAAACAACCCAAGGGGCCCTTGGTAGAATTTGCTACAGGCCCCGCGCTGTCTTAATCGGGCACTGTATGTAGGGTAGACAGTGCTAATTAGAAGAGAGTAGACTTAGCGCAACATACATAGATGTCAACACTTGTGTTACGAGTTTATGGGTCTTTCATAAAAACTGTAGAGTGTACAGAAATTACTATAATGACAATGCGTGAAGTATATAAACGATAAATTTATGGTCTATATATTAAAGTTAAACGCACATACATTTATCTTAAAGCAAACACTCGTAAATTCCACACACATTTCTCTTACCGCACTTGTAAAACGTTTCACATCTATCATTTCAACAGGTTCTTGTTATAATTTCCTAAGTAAGCGCTATACACATTGGACTACTCGTACATCCGCTATAACTTAGCCTTGTAATGTTATAACCTCTCTTCTGCAATTTATCAACACAGTTAATATCCACTTCATTGTACTCTAAATAGGAGCATAACCGTAGATTTAATCAAACTTAAGGGAAGAAAAGTACTGGATGAAATAGACCATTACGTGATGATCATTAGCTTATCACCACCCATTGCTGAACGAACGTCTCCCCAAGAGGCGCCAAATATCCTGGTCCTGGGCAATCCTCATCTATCCGCTACCAGAAATTTTCTTTAAGTCGTCGGACACGATGTCGCAGGTCGCCCTACTCTACGTTTGCCTAATCGCGATCAAGACTAGCACATTCCGGCTCCAGCGACCATCAGTCCGTCTGGAGACATGAACGGTCCACTTCTACTTCTTCTCATTCACTCAGTGATAAGTCGAGAAAAAATTACTTAACACCGGTTTCCTATGAGACAATGGAATCATTCTGGTCGAGCTGACCCGTTTGTGAAAAGCATGGCACTCGCCATGGTCTATGTCCAACAGTAAACTTTTAAAGGCGGTTTTATAGGGCGGTTGTAGATCGGCACAGGCAGATCATAGATTTTGTATAAGTTTAATTTTTATTAAATCTATATTGCTTACTATTTGACAAGACAGAGATTGTTGCTATTGTGAGTTGATCTATGACTTTAGTGTCTACATAAAAGACGATTTCAAACAATTAAAAAAAAAATGAAATACAGAGTTTGAGTTCGAAAAGGCTGTTGATGTGATGTGATGGCTCTCCAACGGTAAAACTTCGAAACCATTTATATGGTTAATATTCAGTTGGCATTGGTCGATCGGTAATGAGAGGTTATTAAAATGTAGCGTTTTTTCAAGTATGCTGCAAGTTTTAAGGTAGTAGCTTTAAAACTTCATCACAAACATTCTTACGTTTTCATTGCTGATATTGCACTGAAACTGAATTGATTTGCTCGCTTTCGGAATAAGGTCCGTATATATATGTTTTTTTTTTTTTTTTTAAAAAGACAACGCCCGCATTAGGAATAAATCCTGTGTCGCGGGGGACTTTACAAACATACATGAACAGAACAACAATTTGTGGATCACACAAAGTGTCGTCCCATGTGGGGTTTGAACCCACAACACTCGGCGCAGTAGGAAGCGGCGTGGCGACCGCTTAAACCACTACGCCATCCGTGCAGTCAATTTGAGTGGCAATAGCATTTTTAAATACAATTGTAGACTATATTTTTGTACAGATAAGTTGCCTGTTCTAATTCTATGTCACATTTGTGTGTATAAATAGAATCAGTGCAATTGTCGAGGATTATGTAATTGAGTCTATCTTTCTTTACTCTTAATCCTATCACGTATAATCTCATCATAAAAATATGTTGGTGTATGTATCTGTTAAGATAGGATTAAATGCGGATACCTACCTGGAAAAAATTGCCGAGTGTATCAGGTTTTACAATATCAGCGTAATATGAAATGAATTCAAAATAAAAGTATGCCAATGCGCCATGATACCCGTCTACTAAAATGCAATAGGTTAATTGATATGCTTTTTGTTTCGGTTTGTGGATTATTATGGATGCTTGCACGGGTTTTATTGAATACCCTGTGGAATCCTTTTTAAAATAATACATATGAGTTTTTATTGTTTCGCTTTTGCTATTACTAAATTAGTTTCTTCCCTTTTGAATTTACACAAAATAATTATAAAAGTTGCAATTTTGATACTATAATATTAACTGATTAATCAAATTTAAACAATTTGTGCCTTTTTCACCTATTTATCTTTATGTAACCGTAGAATTGTTTATTCATCATAGGCCTTTACGCTTATAACATACGATTTATAGAATGATTGCTCTTGGTGGTTGTAAAGACATGTGAATTTTATGGTTGATGACATTAACTGGGAACCAGACTTAATCGAAAGCCTCTACAAAAATGAACAGCTCTGGAAATAAATTTAATCTTTATTAAGTCATTAGTGTAAGCTAGAACAAACAATCGTAAATCTATACTCATTTATAATGTGAGATATACAAACTATATCTGCTGCAATATGTTGAGTGTTAAGACGTGATCAATCCTAGTGTCAGGAGAATATATCTCGCTTCGTTAGAACTGGTGATTTAGCTGCCAAGATTGACGAGAGCTTTTTAAGGGGTCGGGAATTGATGGTCTTACCTAACTATTTATTTTCACATGTTTTTCTATCTATAAATGTATATCTATACATATAAAATTACTTGCCCTGACTTGCACTGATTCGTCAACTTAGAGCCTAAGCCGATGATGTTTTTGTTTTATTTTGTAAGCACCCGTTATGAAAAGGCTTTTGGAAATTTTACTTCTAATAATCACGCGAGTATAGCCGCTGGTAATTGCTAATCTGTTACAAAATCGCACAGTTTTGGCAGGACAATTTTGGCTATTTGATTCAATCTCAAACATACATAATATTAATAACTGAATAAATGAGAAATTTAAGACAGGACTAGTGAATTACCAACTTGATCTGTTCTTGATTAAATTAACTTACGACTGCAATCTTATTGAATATTCGAAATTATGTACAATACATAGAAAGTTTAGAAACATAAGGTTTTGTAGGGCATCAACAAAAAAGATACCTATGCCTATATATAATGAGACCTTAAGATAATACTTACTTATTTCCTGTTGACACAGGATGTGAAGTCTTAGATTACATCTTGTTATTTAATTCGACGTTGTATAATTTTTTTTTTTTTTTTTTTTATGAAAAGACAACTCCCACATTAGGAATAAATCCTGTGTCGCGGGGGACTTTACAAACATACATGAAACGGACACAAAGAACACCCAGACTCAGAACAACAATTTGTGGATCACACAAAGTGTCGTCCCATGTGGGGTTTGAACCCACAACACTCGGCGTAGTAGGAAGCGGCGTGGCGACCGCTTAAACCACTACGCCATCCGTGCAGTCAATTAACTTAATATGTAGGTATTATTACACGAGATGTCTATATGTCAGGATCGTGGTGCATCGCTTTCTGTAGTGTTTACCTACTCCACGGGAACGGGAATAAGGTGTAGGATATTTGTATTTTATATCTCCTATTTAAGTTGACATAAATGTACGCCACAATGCATATCTCACTGAAGTGACAACAGTGGAAGTGTGGGTGGAGACACTATATTGTACTCTTGTCGTGAATAATATAGTCATTTTGCTAGCATAATTGCAACAGTTAGACGCAGTTTATGTCGTAAATGTGATCATAAACTTAGGTATAACATTAGGCATAACTTATACTTGGCACCTATTAATGTTTCTGAACTAAAAGTTGTATGAGTCATGGGAGACCTACGATTAAAAGGATAATCCGTCCCTTCAACATTTACCTCTAAATAAACTCGTCTGCTCTATATCCCCGCCACATGATTGGTTGTCATTTTATTTTCCACAATAAATCTATTATTGTTGATCAGTCTGCGGTAAACCATTGATCAGGTGGGTAATGATTTCAGCTCAGCCGCTGAACAGGAACTTATCTGAGACATCGTCAACGCTCTAATTAACACCAGTATAATCTGCGGTCCATCATCGATCAATCGTTAAACCTGTATCAGAAGTATGTCGACAAAACAAATTATGTATATCAATTTTATATAAAACATTCAACACTGATCTTTGACTTACATCGCAAAAACACAACTCTCTTTCTGTCCAAATAAATAAATCGAGTAAAAAATGAATTCAGCTAAAGTACCAATTACACTGAAAACGATGCGGGCAAAGCCACTTTATGAGGAAATCTCATGAGGGTCAGGAAGCGAATGAATCTTAACCACATTTTGTATTAATTGTTCCAGGAACTGAAGGAGAGCTTCAACTATGGTTTGTTCTGCCCACCAGTCAATGGCAAGGCCGGGAAATTCCTGGACGAAGAACGACGACTCGGCGATTACCCATTCAACGGACCTGTCGGATATCTTGAGGTCTGAAAGACATTCTTTATAAAATTGTTTTTACGAATTGGTTAGATTCTAATCTTGTAATAAATTTTAAAAGAAATTAATAAAAAAATAAGCAATATTCTCCTATGGCACAATCATAACTCAAATTCATAGTAATAAAATTCCTTTGAATTCAGTATTATACTATTTGGTATAAATATAATAATGTTTACCTTCAAGAGGTATATCCTGAGACAGAATATACCTTTAAAAGATACTGTCTAATCATCGAAGGTAAAGTTGCATAGAACATTAAAATTTGCGAACATTGAGGCAGTATTAGTAAAGCTCTAAATAATTTAGCAATCAATATGTATTGCGCATCTGCTTCTTCATATAGTATGTGGTATAGTTATATTAAAATGAAACATTAAGAGACAACTTTAAAAATCAAAAGCCTCGTCGACCATCTGCGTATTTTATGTTGAAAATTAATCCGTATCTTTTAAATTTCCAGCTAAAATACAAACGGCGCGTCTACAAAATGCTGAAACTAGACGAAAAAACTCTGAAGGCCCTGCACTCGCGGGCTAACCTGAGGCGGTTCTTAGAGCACGTGACACATGCTCAAATCGATAAGATCACTAAAGCGTGTGCCAAAGGACTCGATCCCAATTTCCATTGTCAGGAGACAGGCGGTAAGATTAACTAATGAGATTTATTTGTTGCCAAGAATTTTCCTCCTGCTTAAACCCCAGCATTAGAATATTACTGGCATAGTATAGTGTACGCTCTAGCTTCTGGCAACCTTACTTCATTTATTACAAAAGAAATGTATCACTTGGAACACACTAAATAATTTATGTTCTTTTTAATTTGTCATTAAGATCTCTTTTACCAATTACTTTGTTTCACCATAGTATTTATTTAAAAGTACACATTTATTTTTAGTATAAAAATTTTAGGATAAAAAGTCCGTGTAGTGACTGATTAAGAATACGCATTGTCACCCCCAATCATCCCGTGGGTGTCGTAAGAGCCGACTAAGGGAGCAAACTACGCAGAACAACATCACTGCAAAGAGAAGGAAAACTTGACACAAACCCTATACTAACCCGTCTGGCCAGCGTGGCATAGTAGGCCAAAACCTCCTTTCTAAGGAGAGGCCTATTGTCCAGCAGTGGACTGTTAAAGGCTGTTGAAGATAATGAAGATAAAAATGTATGGTTCATTACATGCATTTATTACTTGATTAAAAGGATTTTGTAGATCAGTGTTATTATGTTTATAACAAACACGTTCCGCTCATAAACTGCTTAAATATATCGTAGTTATACAAACAAAGGTGTATATTTCACACCTCTGAGTACACTAATTGTGTCTTATACAATATTCGTAATCAGTTATATCTACCATTCATTCGTTCATGAATGTACCAAACATTCACCATGTTTGCCAATACCACTATCCGCTTCTGACATACGGCTCTAATTTACATACTGATTCTTATCTGCCATTGTTCAATGTACTGAAGTAGTACTAAGGGCATGTACAGACATGTACTGTACAGTTAGGTGGTACCGAATGAAAGTTGCTCTACTCACCAAATTCTTTCTCATAAAATAAAACAACAAAATAAAACAATAAATTACTGTAATGACATTGAAACAATATATTTCCGAATTCTCTTCGCGTAAATGACCGACATTCACAAAATTTCCTGATCCGGTCCGTGTATTTTTTTTTTCAGTTTGGCCTTTTAAAAACCGCAGTACCTTGCAGTTACAGTAACAATTAACAAAAAAATATACTAAACTTCTAAATTTCAAATAATAAACAATAACAGTGAAGTCCTTAATCAACAATTTATTTAAAAGGAAGTAAATGTGTAATTGTTTTATATTGCTATTTCTGCGTCTCAAATAAACAAAGTGTAAAAAATTATAATGTAAGGTAATCAAGGATTTTTTTGTAGAAAGCGATACTTAATAGGTAATACAAATACTTATAACTGTTATATATCCCAAATTTTAGAAAGAAAGAATTCCAATATATCTATGTATATAAAAATCATGTATGGTAAAGTTTATACATCCAACTTTGACTATATGACTATGATTATATCGTATTGTAACCGATAATTGAATCGGTAATCTGCTAGTCTTAATAATACTTTAGTATTTTACAACGAAAACACCTTTGATGACAGTTGTGACTTCGAGAGCTGTTCGGAACTGAATTGTGGCCGAACTTTTATTATGAGAATTGGCCTTCGGTTGAATTGGCCGTGGTCACAGGCTGACTCTGCACGTCTGGTTTATACTAACTTTAAACTGTGTTAAACTATTATACCCATTCGTGAGTGCGTTAATTTCCGTAGACATAATTATACGGTTCACAAATGTAACAAACTTTTAAAAGTTGTTTCTACTCAAAATACTTAATTTCTGAGGCTTATGTTTAAAAGACCTTTAATAATCAATTTTAAGATAGCATAGCAAATTTTAAAATAGGGCAATGATGTACCGCATAAAAAAACCTCGATACTTTAAAATTTAAGTTAACGAGTAATAGTGTGCTAACAGACATCACTTTCAAAAGTCTTTACACACGCTTCATTTAGTGTGACTCAAAACGGAACAGCTAAACGTCTCTTAATGTATTTCATTTCATGGTCGCCGAGTGTGAACCCGGCTTAGCATTGTAAGAAACCGTATCCACCGAGCCGTGGATAATCCGTGATAAACACTACCAGGGCTTGCTGTGCCTGAGTTTATTTTTCAATGTCGAACAATCAATATTCCGTTTGCAATTTAAATGTACCATTATTTGCTTAAATTTAGTTCCATTATTATTTAAATATTAAAACCACTTTATTCTTTCTTGCTTCGAAAATGTGAAAATGCCAGCACTTCTTAGATATGTATAAGGTATGTAGTTAGGTGTCTGGGCACGTGTAAACCTTATGATGAACCCGCAGGACACCCGTTAAATTAAAAAACTGAAATAAAAGAAGAGCCTGTCAATAGATTGGTTTAAAAAATCAAAGTGATATATTTTAGACTATTTTACTGTGAACAAAACATAAAACTAAAAATCTCAATCAAAAGTAATTTGTACGTGATATATTTGACTGAATATTTCTAAATGTTGTGACGTTATCTTGTTTTTTAACCGACTTCAAAAAAAGGAGGAGGTTCTCAATTCGACTGTATTTTTTTCTTTTAAATTACCATTACAAAAGTAAGGTTTAGAACCTTACTTTTTGAATGTTAAGAAAGGTTCTAATTGCTCACGATTCCATTCTCGGCTGAATTTTGTCCCATTTCTTTTTGTTTAACATGTTTTTAATATTGAATTAAAGGAGGCCGTAACACCTACGTTTGTTATAATTTAGAAAAACAAATTAATCATCTTTAATTCTACATTTTAACATGTATATGTCCAAATATGTAGATACTTCTTTCGAAAGCCAATGACCTTTGTTGCTTGTAATTTGGTTGCCAGTTTAATTCTGTATTTATTCTGAATGAGTATAGATTGTTATTGATAAAATGTAATAACTTCAATAGAGATACTTAAACTGATGTCTAAATATGGCAGATGTGGATGGTAATGAATAGTAATCTGAATCACGCTATAGATTTACAAACATTACACTAAGACAAACTACATAGAGACCACAGAAACGATTTTCTTTATCACACGTGAATGTAGTCATGCTAAAAGAATTTATTTTATTATGTTAAGAACCTATTTCTTCACTGTTTCCTTCTACCTTTCTTCTACAATTTTACCTAAAATATTTGTAATGCTTTCAACGCTCCGTTCTATCAATACCATCCAAAGCCTATGCCTTTAACACTATTGATAACAACATGCTAACACGACATGACAACATGTTTGGACAGATAAAGTTACCAATGAAATTTTAATCACGTCCCGTTCCAAACAAAGTTTGAGGACATTAGTTACTAATATAAAAAAAATTCTAAACATTGCAATTTAACTAAATTGAAACTTTCAACATTTATATAATCTACATGGATCCAAAGCTTAAAAGTAATATCTTGAATTTTCCAGAAACACCTCTAACAATAGCGTCTGGCCTAAAATCACCTGGGAAAGTCCTGATTGCTCTTGTCAATGGCGGCGCTTTATTGGACTACAGGAATAAAGATGGCAGTACAGCTATGCACAGGGCTGTAGAAAAGAACTCTCTGGAATCTGTGAAAACGCTCCTGGAACTCGGAGGGTCTCCTAACTATAAAGATGCGAAAGGCTTAACTCCATTGTACCAATCTGTGACGAATAAAACAGATCCGTTATTATGTGAGACGTTACTGCACGACCATGCAACGATTGGAGCTACCGATCTGCAGGGATGGCAGGAAGTACACCAGGTATGCTTAATGAATGCTTAAAGTTAAACTTTGGGTGGGAACTATAGGTAAGCTACTTGTATACTAGGACTGTCTCCTTTGGTCTGGTTTGAGCGCGGTTTTTATTTGAGGGGAAACCTTAAAATCACATGCTCTGGGTCCAGAGCATGTGATTTTAAGGCTACCGACTACCGAGTCGGGGTGGTTTTTAATAGAAACACCACCTACTCCTGGCTTCTGCATACCTACGATGGCGACCCGAAAGAGCCAGAATTCAAGAGGGATAGTCCACCTCGTCAACAAAAAGAAGCCTATGCCCTTTATGACAGTACCATTGTCAGGTCATTCCATCATGATTAGTTTGCACCTATAACAAATTGCTACTTGTTAGTTTTTCTACGCGTCTGTTTTAGTTTGTACGTGTGTCTATATATAATATTTCTTTGACTAATTTCCAGGCATGTCGCAACGGCTTAGTTCAGCACCTTGACCACCTACTCTTTTATGGCGCGGACATGAACAGTCGCAATGCATCCGGCAATACTCCACTACACGTCTGCGCTGTCAACGCACAGGACTCGTGTGCGAGGCAGCTGCTCTTTAGAGGGTGTGATAAGGAAGCGCTCAATTTCGCAAACCAAACACCTTATCAGGTACACCATTTGTATTTACTTAGCATAATCATGAACAAAAGTACCTTTTTTCAAATATAAATTATTTTATTTTATTTATTTGGGACAAAAAACAGATAACTGTTTTTTGTGATGTATAAACATTGCAGTCTTTACAAGTAAATTTAGAGTCTATTTATCTAAAATGTATAACACACACTATTGTCACCGAGGTTATAGGTGGATTAGCAAAGGTAACGGGCGCGCTATTGAACACGGTGTATTCTATGTTATATTATAAGATAGATAGTTAATTAAGAAATGTCATCAATTACCAGCAAGAATTTCAATTAATAGTGAGTGACAGCGAAAATATTCAAGTTCGTAAAATGTGAGTTGTCCGTTGTTAATAATCGGCGAAGAGGTGCACGCTCTCCAGCATTCGTTTCTAAACTTTTCCGTGTAGAATAATCGAGTTACGCGCACCTCCCTCCGAATAACAGTCCTGGTCCAAAAACATTTGTAATAGACAAAGAATAGGAAGTTTTTTTTCTGTACCATTTCTATCTTCTGCTTATATCCAAATAAGTACAACATACTCTAACTTTGAACGGGCTAATGGTTTATATAGGAATAGGTAAGTAGTGGGGTTTTTGAAGTTTTTACAAGAGCGCATGACGAAACCATATGAATAACTAAAGGTAATTTGGAATCTAGATGTACACCCAGATCTTGAGGACATTCGTTTTTCCTTAGATTAGTTAGTTCGTAGGAGTTTTGTTCTTTGTAAAGGATATGAAGTGCCATTTGCTAGACTAAGGTGTAGCTTATTAATAACACAGTGCTGTGAGAGCCTGCAGAGATCTTCTTGTAGTCTTATAGATTTTCATATCGTCAGCATACATGAGGAATTTAGAGTTAATTATACAGTTTCTAGTGTCGTTTATGCCCTGGTTCCCCCTCCCCCCCTTCCCCTTAGATCCGGTGCTGGCTGTTGATGATGACGATGTATTTAATAAATTTAGGACATTAATAGTCTGTTTTGAGGAAATCTTGTCAGAAATTTCCCATGTACTTTATAGATAGGAAAATCTAAAATCTACGTGATACCTACGTGTCAACGGTATATAACATATATATATTTGGGTATACAACAGTTTGACTAAACACAGTTTTACATTTATAAAATATATACTAACATTCAACAGGTGGCTGTAATAGCAGGCAATTTAGAACTGGCAGAGGTGATCAAGAACTACAAAGCGGAGGAGATTGGTGAGTTAAACTGTCATAATTTAGTGCATGCTTTATAAGACTATGTATATACAGTATAATAATACCCTTTTAAAAATATATGTTTTAGAGTTGATTCTTAAATTAATTAATATGCCTTACATTCCCGACTGACCGACTGGCTGAAAATGATTATTTACCTCCACATAAAATCAAAACGATTTAATATCAATTAGTTTTTTATATGGTATAAGTTAACCGGAGCAAAAACGTATCTGTGAAGAAATGGTGACGATCATGGAGAACACGTACTGGCCAGTTTTCTTTAATTTTGCTTCGCTTTATGTAAAAGAGCTCATTAAGACGACCTTGTGTTTAAGAAATATGTTTCATGCGGCATGTTTTCCTATTTGACCATTTATGAATCTCTAAGCTTTTAAAGGTAACAGGAAAAAAAATATGTCACAAATTATAATATATATTAATTACTTATTTAAGAATCAATGTTATTAATTTATTCCTCGCTTTATTTTATGTGCGAATGCTTCTGTATTTTTACCACGGCCATATTTTATTTAAATGTTACAATACTATTTATATTATGTAGTGTCTGTGTAAATACTTAAAAATAATATACTTAGCATGAGTCATCTGTTCTATCTACATATGTCTATTCCATTGCTTTATATCATAATGGTGATGGTTGTATTTAAACGCTGATAAATATATATCAAGGTACATATAATAGTTCACTAACCGTACATAATATAGGTATGATATAAAGTTTATATTTTTATTATAATATTTTTATTTTATTATAATATTTTTATTTTATTATATTATTTTCAGAATAACACTCGTATTAGTTAATTATCGCACATTTTATTTCTGTGTTCGTCGGACTATTTATTATTTATTTTCCAATTTGGTATTCATTTGTCGCACGATTCCTTTATTAGTTTGTTCGGTTGCTAAATAAAATATTTCAGTGCCATTTCGCGGACCTCCACGGTACAATCCAAAGCGACGGTCAGCGGCTTGGGGGGGATGGTGGACAGCAGGGGACAGATCTTCCCTGGCTTCTTCGACTCGAATACCTGCTGAGCTTGACACTCTGCTGAGACGACAACCTGGCCCTACAGCATCGCCCTGCAGCCTTGAGAGACCATTTTCGTCGGCGTCATCAAGCATTAGTGACGCGAGCCATCCGAGCCACGAGGACGATGCCAGTATTCTCACAGGTAAAACTCGAGGTTGTCGATGTGGGAGTTGTGAAGCGCAGATACATCAACGTTGTGATATACGTTGCTGTACTTACGCTCTAAGTTACTTCCCGCCGTGGTCTAAGGTTGCTGTACACGAGTCCCGGTTGCCGATCACGTGATACGCCCGTCACCCATGTGAACAACCATCACCATGCACAAACATCGCCCGTCCACGAATGCATGTTCTATGTGCCTTAATGTTCATGTAGTTACCCATCGAGCCGCTTCTTCGCTTTCTTCCCTTCAAGAGATTTAATTTTTGGAGTTATACCCCTTTTAGATTTAGGTTGATTATAATATACTATTGTTATATTTAAGGAATAGGGTATAAATAGACAGCCCAATAGCACTAATGTTTACCTATTTTGGTTTTGATATGATTATTAAACTTTGTAATATTTTTACATGTAATTGACATTTTTTATTATTATTACTAAGATAAAATGTTACCAACAATTATACACGCTTACACTTCACTCAATAATTACAACCAAATTTCATCCACCCACAAAGCAAATACTTTTACCCTAAACTACCCTCGTCTACAAAAATTATTTTATAAAAAGCCACAAAATTTATGTAAAACTTTTATTTTGTGGCAACCCTGCTCACGATAATTGAGCTGACCATAAAGCGACTGCAATCAACAGATAAAAGTGCTGGAGATACGAGCGACATCATATCCGACTCGAGCGGTGTCGGCACCAGCAACTCCGACACCACGTGTTCGCTACAAGGTGGCGCCACCGTAGTTTGTCTACAACCTTATGAGTCCACTGCCAGAGGACACCTGCGGCTTAACCAAGGCGATATTATTGAAGGTATATGTTCTTCACTTCACACTGCAGTGTGACGAGAAGCCACAGATTAAGTAAATTTCGTAAAAAAAAAGATTGGAGTAAAGATCTAGTTTTAAAACCTTTATATTAATCTGTCAATAGTTAATTTATGCTTATTCTTGATTCATATTTGACCTTAATCCTGTTGGTTTAGTGGTTACCGATCCTGACTGCTAAACCAGATGTCGTGGATTCGATTTCCACCCAGGACAAATATTGTGTGATCAAAACGATCGTTAGTTCTGTGTCTGGATGTAATATATTGATAATATAAATATGTATTTAGAAATGTATGTATCCGATTGACCGTAATAGGCTTGTCAGAATATGTGGGTAGTTTAATACGCCATTTAATATCACTTATATTTCTTCTATAAATACGGGTGTCTATGTGATGTCAATGATATGAAATTAAAAAGTTCACGGATCGCACAACTAAAAGACACTTACTAGAAATAAAAATCTTTAATGATAAATAATAGATTATAACCAACTTTTTAAGGCCTATTAAAATAAGGAGTTGGACTCAACAGATATCTGTGTGTTTTAAAACGGGTTTGGAGCTCCGATAACCTCATTCACTCGGTGTAAAGCGCCAAAAGAATTACTTAACACCGACTTTCTCTGAGGCCGTGGTACTCGTATCTCTCTAATCGAGCCGGCCCATGTGTGCCGACGCATGGGTTTCTCACGGTTAATGCGACCCATTGTATTTAGCCCGATTGGTAACTCTTGGGTAATGATTTGTGTTATTGAAATATTTGTCCAGTATTAACAAATAAACAGCCATGTAAATACAACCATATATCTATAGTAATATAAATGAGAAAGTTTGGATGGATGTTTGTTGTACAATCACGCCAGAACTGCTGAACGGAATTAGATGAAATTTGGCACTAAGGTAGACTATAGTCTGGACAAAGACAACTATTTATCCCAGCAAAATTGATTGACAAATTCGACATTGTACGAAAATATAGTGTAAAGAAATCAAATGACATTAGCGATTTCATTAATGTAGCTGTGGTATTATCTATCCGCAACTTACAATACAATAAAGAATTGTTATCTAAGTACGTTTAATTACGGACATTAACGCAATCACGTAATAAATATTAAATACCTTTAAATTGCCTGACTTGCACTTGGTCGAAAAGCTATTTAAATTTGTGTTATATATATTACGTGATCACATTAAGTCCCCTACATACTTGTATAGAATGAAAAGCGAAAGTTTAAACATTTAAATAATATGAGTTATGATATTCGTTATTTAAGTAAATACAGTAAACTTTTGCGACTCCAAAGTCTCATTCCTAAATGATATCAGTAGTTCAAGTCATACCCACATCGCTAATAACTAAAACAATAATTCATTATTCATCTGCACAAATTTTGTGAGTAACTGAATCATACCATCGGTTCTAACCACATAAGCAGTTAACTAAACCTGTTGTTCTATGGTGTTTACAGCGATAAAAGCCTGTTTTGTGACGTTTTATTTTCCAAACCCACCTCGCAATAAAGAAAACGTAATAAAGGTAATTTATATATATGACGGCCATACTTATAGTCCAACTCCAGTATGTAATTAAGTACATTGCGTACTTGATTACAGTAAGATTTAACATTCCAATGACATTCTGTATATTGATAATAAATTAGTTATAAATAATTAAGAGTAATTATACTCTTAATAATATATTAAAATTGCAAACCCTGGCCGCATTCATCAAAATAATTAACAACTATTAGTACCTGCTTTCTGTACGATGATTTTAAACATCTACAACTGATTAAAAGGCGCTGTAATAATTAAGGTCACAGGCTATTTTTTTGTATTCTAAGCCATTTTTTACGATTCATTTTTTAAAAGCTGTAATCTACGATTAAACAGGTACCAGGCTTGGGTAATTTTAATACCCAATCGTTGCTAATTGGACCTACTAATTCAGACGGATGGAAAATCTATCTTAAAATTGTATTTTTTTACCACTAAATTCATATAGTAAGAGGTGACGACCCATAACTGTGTGTAACTAGTCCTTACACAATTCTTAGAATCCAAAACACAGGCGAAATAATGATTGATTATAATGTTCAGTGAGTGGAGCTACAGAAGACGGTCTTCTACGGGGCACGGTGCGAGGGTCTGGCGCTAGCGGCTTCTTTCCAATGCAATGTGTGCAAGAGGTGCGCTTGCGACAGAACACCAACCATATGCACGAGGTACAAATTAAATCAAAATAGAAAAAGTATTTTTTACCGAACATTTACACACAAATTAGATTTAAAAAAAAACAATAAAAACACGAAGGTTGAAATATAATATGTTCTCGGCAATTTAAGTTAAAATAAAATTGTCGAATGTAATAATTGTTTTCTAAACTTTCAGGTACTAGCTTCAGGTCCAATTCATCACTCACGGGTGACAGGGAGGAGGGAAATGGCTCTAAGCAAAACCTATAGTGCAACGGCGCCTAGGATTAAAAAGACGTAAGTACACAAGAAGCATCGTATTTATTTGACATCTAAACGATAGACAGAGAATATAAAATAAACTAGAACTTTATTGTCTGTCAGTTGCGGATTCGGTACAATATATTTTTTTTCTTTACAAGGCTAGATCAATAACGTTTTTACTGTCAAGTTATATTCGGTGAATCTATTCAGGAGAGATCCATCACTTAGCTATAAAAATAATAGTATTTATTGACACAGACGACATCAATAGGTCTCAGTGCTGCATGTTTATTGCTTGTTTCCTTTTGCTTATTGACGTGTTGACATATACACATGTACCTACATTTTTTTATATGATACAATATGACAATGTGTACGTGGAATAAAAGTGACAGGTGGTAGGTTTACAATGTGTTTTAATTCAATCGTATGTTGTATGTTTTTGAAGTATGTGTATGAGGTGAGTACGTTACGGCGGTAACGGTGTGGTGTGTGTCAGGTACGGCACCATGGAGACGCGCACGGTGGTGCTGCACCGCGCGCGGCGCGGCTTCGGGTTCGTGCTGCGCGGCGCCAAGGCCTCGTCGCCGCTCATGGAGCTGCGCCCCTCCGAGCGCTGCCCCGCGCTGCAGTACCTCGACGACGTGGACGCGGGCGGCGTGGCCGACCGCGCAGGCCTCAGGAAGGGAGACTTTCTTGTGGCGGTGAGACACGCTCATATTTTAATGTTGTGCTTATCTCGACTACATTGCAGAGATATCTATACGAGTTTCTTAAATTTGACCTCACTCTCAAAAGAAGAAAACGAATTAGATAATACATATACACGCGTAACATGTCCCACCCGAAACAACGCAAATCTTAAATGATCCGAACACACAACGTAAGCTTACACACAAAAAAAACTGTTGTAAATTTATCCACAATGTAATTTAAAAAAAAAAAACTGTAAAATCCTTTACTTACGTTTAAAAATACAGTTACTACAGTCAAATCAAAGTGAACAAAACTTCACTAATTAGCTATGTCTCGATTATTTGTACTGTATAAGACATCACTAGTACTTGTAATTGCACGATACCTATGCCTAAAAACCAGTTAAAAATATTTTTGTCAGTCTGTCTGTTTGTTCTGGGTAATCTTCATGGATCGATTTTGATAATATTTTAGTACCGAGTGACTGTCTATATGAGGAGTAACTTAGGCTATGTTTTCTCTCAGAAAAAACCCTATAAAATGTTGCCTGGTCCGGGAATCGAACTCACAGCGCTTTTCAAATTCCACGCGAACGAAGTCGTGGGCACCAGCTAGTTCCTTATAGGCTGAGACCTAAATAATATTACCACAAATATTTCTTGTAGCTACACTATCCTATCTGCGTAGATGCAAAGCCGAGGTAGTTTACCAATAAACGTCACAAATATTCCCAAATATTATAGCGTTGTTCAAAGAAACAAACAAACTGGAATTTTAAACACTATTTCTCTGATCAAGTCTTATTTGGTATTAGTTAATAGTTACTCGTATCCATGGCCGTTCTTCTCAAGTACAAGAAATTGCCGAGTGAATTTGTGAGTAACTATTTTTTTGTGAAATGAAAAAAATGTCTAAACAAGAAGTAAATCATTTCTCAAAAGATAATTTAATTAAAAACCATTTTTAATGCTGTATTAAAATTGTTTACCTAATGTTTTTTTCTACTGTACTTGTAGTACGTATTTACTTAGCAAAAAGTAAATACTAAAATAATAAAATCGATGTTTTGTTGTGTTAACTATGTAAAATAATAACAAAAACTAATTATTTAGTTAGAGAAAAATTTTAACATTTTGTAACTTCAAGTTTTGATTGGAGCTAATACTGTTCGTTAGAATAGGATTCAAGTTCAAGTCGGAACCCCGTTATTTCTTAGGACATATTTTTTACTGGCCTGTTTGTTTAGTGGTTAGTGCTCCTGCCTGCTATGACAAAGGTGGCGGGTTTGAATTCCCATCCAGGAAAAAAAACGAAGTGAGAGGTCTATGGACCCCGGGTAGGAAAGAAATTCCTTTCGCTTTTTGGAAGTTACTTCGATAGTTTATATGCAAGAAGTGTCAGCAAAAGTCTTGTTACACATTTTTTGGTCTAGCTCCCATCCACTCAGAGCGTGTAACGGGCGATAAAGAACTTCGTTCCAAAAATTATGTTAAGCACGATCATTTGTATAAATATATAAGTATGTTTATCAGCAGTCTGGTTGTCATAGTGCAGGCTCTGTTTAATTTGAGATCTGACGTCTGTATTTTAAAATGGGGCTAATCCCACCCACACGCCCACCACTGTAACTCCTGTACACCAGGATCCACAGCAGTGACCCACGAACACACCGAGTCTGACGTCTGTATGTGAAATGTGTTAAGTTAGTATTAATGTATACATATAAAATAACTTCCCCTGACTGACTGATTCATCAACGCAGAGCCCAAACCGCTGGAGCTACAAACTTAAAATTTTGGTACCTGATGCTTTTTATGGCGACTAAAAACGGATATTTGGAAATTTCTGGGCTTAAATAAGGTTGTACGGAAGTTCGTCATTATCAAAATAAATACACGAAATAAGAAATATACACGCAAGCGAAGTCGCTGGCTCGCTAGCTAAAGCTTAGCTTTCTAAAAATATAAACGAAAACTTAAGATATTTTTAAAAGTAGTGCGAGCCATATCCGGTAGCGGTGTATTGTACTGTACCTGTATTGTCGACAACAGTCGAACGTTTGATAGAACTAGTTTGCAGTATACCCTTTTTGTAGCTTTTAGTTATTACCTTTCTTGTTGCGTACTTTTGTTGTTTCCTTTTAAGTTAGTAATTATTAAGTTTGTTCCCGTACACTCTTTTAACTTTATTTTGTGTATACTGTATCTCAGTAAGTGAATCATTTTATTCGTAAATCTTATGAGGAAATAGAGATCTTAAACCATAGCTAGTATAATAATGTAAGAACTGCTTATGTTGCAGATAAATGGCGAGGATGTGTCGGCTGCGTCGCATGAGCACGTGGTAGAGCTCATCCGCAGCTCCGGCGCACTCGTCTCCATGACTGTTGTCTCGTTGAATAACCATACTGGTGAGGCCTCTAACTTTAATACTCTCATTGTTTTTATGTTACGGGGGCAAATGAGCAGATGGAGCCCCTGATGGTAAGTGATTACCGCTGCCCATGGATACCTGCTAGTTAAGAGTAGACTGTACGGATGGCGTAGTGGTTTAAGCGGTTGCCACGCCGCTTGCTACTACGTTGAGTGTTGTGGGTTTAATCCCTCAAGGGACGACGCTTTGTGTGATCCATAAATTGTTGTTCTTGTATGTTTGTAAAGTCCCCCGTGACACGGTATATATATTTCTAATTGTTTTAAAAAAAAAGTTATTAACATTTTATAATTTTTATAAATATGAGATAAATATTGATTTTCTTACTGGCCTTTTAATTTTTAACCTTTTATTTTAAAATTCTTTAATTATTATTTAAATCGTTTATATCTGAGTGTATAATATTACTGAAAATATTAACCTTACATATTCGTTATCGTACCAGGTAACAACGAGAACAACACGTGTATGGTGCCCACGAGTAAGTCTCAGAATCAACTGTCCAGTTCTGGTCGTCCTTACGCAGCGACACTGCCCAGGAAGGCCGCGGCAGGTAAATATTTCAAGCTAATATTGTACTCGTACCTTCATAAGAGTACTCTCTATCTAAGATAATACATTTTTAGTTAGAAAGTATGCCCTGTCCGTAAATATTGATCCATGGCAAGTATCCACGTAGTAACGTGTGCGGTGTGTGCAGGTCGCGCGCCTGCGCCCGCGCCGCCGCGCCGCGACCCGCGCACGACGCTGAGCGTGGGCCGCGCGCGCGCCAAGTCCATGGTCGCCGGCCTCGGTACGTAACCTCACTCTGCACCAACATTCGTACACACTATAGCTTTTAATATACCCTCTGATTAATTCTAATAAAATACCTGACTTTTTAGTAAAGGTCGTAGCTTAACATGAATGAGACCCTAATAAAGTGACTTCTTAAATTGTTTTTTGACAAAAATTTGCTGTATATAAAAATATTTACTCACTCACTTATATGAAGTTTTTATAATTAAAATTTATGATGAATCGAATCGAATATAACAGGTAAATACTATACCTAGTCAATTATCAGTATGTTTGTTCAAAAAATTTTACATCATGTTACATTAATTAATTGAAATATACATATTTTTACAAAATCAACATTCTAACACGTAAACTTGCATATAGTTACATTAATTATGATCGGCTAATTCATAACTTATGTCACATAAAAAATGATGTCAAGTGGTAACGTAAGTAAAACAATAGTGCAAATAGAAAATATTTACATTTAAAACAAAGCACAACCACTAATATCTACAGGGACGCTACTTCATTATGAAACCGATCTTTACATACTAGCTAAAATGCTATTCAAATTTTTTAATTCAAATTGAAACAAATATATAGCTAATGTTGTAAATGTTTCAGAGAATGGCGGTGAGAAAGAAGAAAGTTGTGAACCACTAAGCGTAGCTGGCAAGTCATCGTCTGCTGAGTCTGTGCAACTACCCAGCGGGAGTAACAGTATGTATAATATAGCTTACTCGGTCAACCAACAACTAAATATACTTAAAAATACACAAATATAATGCGTAAAACATATAAAACATATTTAATACAATAGGTAACAATTCCTATTTTGGATTAAATTAGTATTCTATAGTTAATAGTAATAAATTCTTAATTTACAAACAATTTGAATGACAACTCATTAGGTATAATATGTTAAATTTTAAAAAAATATGCGGCCCGAAATAGTTCCTTGTGGCAACCTATTATGACGATTGGTTTAGTAACATCCCTAAAGTTTTATCATTATATTCCTCGAAATCAACGCAATGTGTTGCTTGATGATTATTCTTATTAGCCTACTTTATAAAGTTTCCATGTAATTATTACGTTTAACACCATCAAAAGCTTCAGCTAAGGCAACTTTTAGTAAAACGACATTATTTTTCATGAAGCAGTGTGTGTCAAAATGTGTTCAGAGTAACTTAAAGTTAGGTAATATAAAAATAAGATTTGGTGATTGTTGTGCAGACTTAACTCGTGTATGGTAACCGTATGAATGTATTTAGCTATAGTACTTTATGATGTATTTAAATTAAATTATAAAAGAAAAATTCCTTCCAAAATTTTATTCAGCTAGTACTATAGATAATATGTTTGGTGCGATTTTACCGTGGATCATCATCGGGTTAAAGAATTCTCACATGTGCATGGCTTAGTTAATTCTGTTTTTTCTGACAAGAAATTTTGTTTTGTCAACTTAATAACGGCCAGACCACACATCCTTTGTATTCAAAATTATACTATTATAATCATGCAAACATATAATCGTTCAAAATTATGTTCAATCCGTTTTGATCCACTTAAAAAAGTAAGAAATAGCATGTACAAGAAGTAACCGTGTGCGCGTACATTGCAGCGGGCACGCCCGTGTCGGGCACGCCCGTGGCGCCGCGCACCGCGTCTATCCGCGCGCGCCCCGCCTCCTCGCGCATCACGGCCGCCGAGCTCGAGGAGCTGTTCCAGAGGCAGGCCGATGCCGACACCATGTACGTGCAGCCGTTACACTTACCTCCTCGCCGCAACTCATCATTATATTACAATTCCACTCATCGACATCATTTTCCTGTCCTTAACCCAATATTTCTAGAGTTAACGTATGATTTTGCGAAAGCTGGTTTCTTCTATGGTCGGTCACCTTACAACAACCCGCTTTAGGAACATAACCATTTTGAGATGGGACAAAGAGGAAAAAGAAGATAAATTGTGATAAAGATACAATTAGGGTGAGGAACCTTCCGTTTCTTTGCGGTGTCCTTTACACCGCAAACCGCGGGCGAACGGGAGATTAGAAGAAGCTAAGAGGCTCGAATCGAACTCATAACACTGCTTACCTAGCGTTCTCCTTCTCGATAATAATAATAACCTCACATAGCTGTCTGATGCTAAACGACTGCCTATGGTATGGTTTGGTGCTATGGTAACCAACCTACTAATAAATAAAAATTAAAATTAAATTACAGCCTAACACAAAACAAACGATCGTGCTCATCACACAATTATTTGTACTGGGTGAAAACCCATCACCTCTGACTTAGCAGTCAAGCTCACTAACCACTGGACCAAGAGACCTGTCAGAATCAACCAATCCTCGTATCTCCTAAAAGTCTTGATAGCTATCTAGCTGTTTAAATAATACTTTTATATACCCATATCATAGGTTCCATTATACATCTCCAATATTATGTTCGTTATTTCAGTGGTGGGAACAACGCCATGATGACTCGCTCAGCGTTCCAAGGCGGTTCTAATTCTCCACCCTATTCACCGGCGAGGGCACCCACACGAGTCTATGCCTCGGTTGCCGAGATGAAACGATCAAGGGGAAAGGTATAATTATTCTTGTATTTGTAATACATTTAAGACTCAATCCAGTACAAGAAAACAGTAAATATGTTTTTATTCTTCGTGTTAATAAATAATTTAACGTAATCTTTTCACCTTTTCCAATCAGTACAGCATTGTGCCAGAAACAGCACAAACATCTCTTTATGATTTCTAGAAAGATTTTATCGTCATACAACAAAAAACATGCCATATTTATTATTTAATTTTTTTCATGTTTCAGTTGTGGAGCAAATCGACGAGTAGTCTTCGTCGAGACTTCCATTCAACCCCCGATCTGGCTGCCGAACACACAACACATCCACCGCGAACTAGATCTAGTGAAGATGTACATGGTACGTACAGCATGTCGGCAGTGACCACTAACTGGCACAACTGTACTAATTGTTCAATAATTACCAAGTCTAATAATAACTAAAGTTATAATTATTATTACTCATCCCAGGTCCAGGGCGGGTTCCCCCGCCGGCCCATCCTCCCCCACCGCCCCCGTCAAACAATGTACGACCTCCAGCGTCTACGTTCAGGCCAAGTGATCAAGCAAAACTTTACGCGTCACCCACCGACCTTGAAACAGTCGCGTACAGACCTACTGATACCTCTGTAAGTGCGACACATTGTTCTTACTCTTTTAATACTGCAAAGATGCAAAGATCGTTGTTGATCTTATTTTTCTTTACTCAATTGCATTACTATACATACTATAGTGTTGCAGCTTGTTATAATATCTGAAAACTAGTTTTGTTGTATAAATCACTAGAACAAACATGGTACACAGATACAGAAATGAGTTTAAAAATATTGTATCAAGACTGGAATAGAAATGCCAATAGCAAAATATCTTATTTAATGTATTAAAAGCTTTTGATACAGAATCTAACAACCCTTGTACCTGATCACGACTATATCAATACATGAATATTTGGAAATAGGATATTTTTAAAGATTATGTCAGCAAGGTGATTCAATACAAGTGAATCGGTATGGTTGTGGGTGATATAAAATGTCTCAGTTTGAGGGTGTTCCACAAGGGAGTTCGCTCGGTCTTAATTTTCTTCATTGTCATTTAACTTTATCTAAATGTCAAACATGACATTTGCTCTTAAGTCAGACCTACTGAGATTCGATTTGCAGTCAAAGATACCCTAAAAGTGAACTACGGTAGGCAATAAAAGAATTCTTCACTAAAAAAATGCATTATGACCTAATGAAGTTTAGTGCCTGAATCATAAAACTGAATAGTTGAAATAAATATGTACTGTTGAGTGAAGTATTTATATTCCAGAGCCGCAAGTCTGCGTCGCTCCGCTCGTGGGCGGGCGGCGCGCGCGCACTGAGCGCGGACGAGCCCGCCAACCAGTACGCGCAGCCCTTCAACTCGCACAAGGGGTTCGTCAGACAGGTAAATTGCCACCGCTTCCTACATCTCACCGTGTTTTAACTATTCTATTATTCTGGAACAATTTCGAATTAAAAAGTAAAATCGAAAATATGAACTTAAACTGATTAACGATTTCCTATTAGAAATGGTAATTCCTATATGAAGGTATAAAAATAATTTTAGAGATAACTGCGAGATCTAGAATTTTTGTCCGATCAATTTTAAATCTTTAAATTCATATTAAGTTGAAAGAGTTCTTCAAAACCTTATTTGACCTAAAGTAACCTTGTTTTGCAGAAGTGATATACACGGGTACTTTCTACGTTGTAAAGTTCGTGCCGAACTTTAGTTCTATAAAAATGTTTGTAACAAAATGCAAAAGTGGTGTTTTATATGTGTGCACGTTCCAGAACTCGACGCCAGCGCCGCCCATCCCTGAGCCCGACTACAGCATGTCGGAATCGGACGACGAGGGCGACACCAAGCCCAAGGTCGAGCCCGCCGCCGTCGCGGAGACCAGCGCTAACAGTAATGCGAGGTGAGCTTACACATACCACCACTATTCCCTATTTCTCTATTTTTATAATACAATTAAAAATGTTTTCTTTTATTTAACTTATTTACTATTTTTTCTAACGGATTGTAGAACAAACTCATGGCTTAGCTTTGGGCGTAGACCATTGAGTATAACCACAGACATCAATCAGCGTTGCCAAAAACTAAATCTTTTAAAGGCTTTTAACAAATGGAAGTATAAATAAAATTTGATTCAGAAGTTTTAACTCATTTATTAACAATAATTTTGCCCCGCGTGTAGTATAGTTTTTAAAATATCGTAAGGTCTTCATTTCTGCGCTATGGCACTTGTTGTCATTCCAGATTGCAATTAAATAGAGATAATATATACTCTATAATACCTTTACAGTGGATGACTTCATGTAGAATGTAAGAAACGGGGTGCATATGCATGCTAAATACATCAACGCCCGTTTCATTCTGGACATATAGGTTATAACACGTGTGCTCCCATAACTGGTTAAAGAAGTCACACAAGCTCTGCTTAGTTTGGGATCAGGCGACCGCGTGTGAGATGTGTCGAATTATTATTTATAATGTCTTGTGTGTGTATTTTTGTATCTCATAAGCGATACAGAATACTGTAGCTTCCTCAAAGTTGGGCACAGATATATTATACAGAAAGTTAGGGATGTACAATAATCTCGACGTGTCCTAATGAACCTTACGTTTTCAGGATACCAATATACGCAACAATATTTGAGCATGAGAGCGACGAAGAATCATTTATTTAAATTTGAAATTTAATCCTTACTAAAAAGGTATAGTTTTATTTGTCAATGGGTTTACATATCACTGGGAACATGCTTCTTGTATTTGTGGAAACTCACGGAGATCATAAATGTGTCGAATCTGTTACACAAAACTTACATGTCCTGTTATATGCGTCCTATATGTGTCACGATCATTGTATTCACAATGTTTATGAAAACATTGAGTGGAGGTGTTGGATTAACCGGCAAATACTACTATTTGCTCAATATACATAATTTACACATTCCAGGGAGTGCTCATACCGTTATTAATCTTCTTCTCATCTCCATGTCATTGTCATCACAATTGTCTTTGACTAAATAAATGTTTTTGTTGTGATTCGTACTGGTTTTAAATGTCATCTATGTAATAGTGTTTTAATACAAAAATACAGTGGTATTAAGAAAATAAGTGAGCGAGCCTTACAATAGTCGCATATGATGTGTTACACCTGACATCTCATCTAACATGTGGTCAACCCTAGCATCGTGCGCTTATTGGTCAAATCAAACATGATTTGACCAATAAGCGCACGGGAAGCTTTGAAAGCGCACGCTATTGCGAGTGCTTCGCTTCCTGTTACGCATTTTCGTTCCTTTTCACGAAATCTCTTCCAACATATTGTATGAAAGCGAGAGGAAAGGTGTTACAAATCACAAATATTTGAGAGAACATTATACTTTTATTACAATAATTTTGTAATGCTCTTAAAAGAAATTTTAACTGCAATTTGTTATATGTACAATTGGTAAGCAAAAAAAGAAAGAAAGCTCAGAAAATGAATATTGGTTTCAAACTGTGGTAGTGGATCACCTCGCACTGATATATCTTCTGTTTAAATCCCCAGGCGGGGACGCACGAAGTCAATGTTTAAAAATTCTGTAAACTAGTTTGTTGGCAGTATCGTAATTCAATCACAGCATTTTGAATGCTCGGTGCAAGTTTTGTAAGGTCACCCCTTGATAAATGTTGTTCTTTTGTTTTAGTGGGCTTTTTAATTGATCCAATACCATCGAAAGTATAATGTATCGTAAACACTTTTTAAGATGGTGTGGTCACTTCTGCCTCCTTAAAGACCAATCGAGTTCGATTCCTGGGTCGGACCACATGTTTGTATGATCTGCAATTTTTTTTGCTCTGCTTAGTTTGAAACTAGATGGCGTTGTGTGTCAGATGTCCAGAAATATATTTTAAAAAAGTCTGTGCCGTGCCTTTTTTTTTTGACGGGGTGGAAAATCCCTTCAGATCTCCTGCTCCTCGGGGACTCAGGAGCAAGGAGTATGTGGTGATTCCATTAAAACCCACCCCGACGGCCGGCCTCTGGGAGGGCCCGGACCATGTTATTTCAGGTCCTCCCCGAATTGAAACCATGCCTAATCAGGCCCTATCCCAGGGGAAAACACTTCCTCCCCTAAATCGCGGCGTGGCGGCCCAATTGCGTCTTAATGCAATCAGGCCGCCATTCTATCCCCTACCGCAGCAGTCAATCTGCCACTAGAGGTTCCCCCTCGACGGCTGGTATCGTTGCTGACGTCGTCTACGCTCGGGATCGGCCCTCCCGATCCTGTTCAGCTGTCTCTTTCTGGAGCATTACCGCTTCACAGAAAGAGACCACTGCGCCCCATCCCTCCTCACCCGCCAGCATGGCAGCAATTATTGCCGGCCCGGATGCCCCATCGAAGGTTATAGATCGTACGACGCCCATGTAGAAGCGACGAACTTCTTCCCGCAGTTCCCCGATATTGGACTGCAGGCGATGCAGCGCACCAGCTACCCCCCGCGCTTGAGAAGCTCTTCGAAGCTCAACCGACTGTCCATGATGAGGCCTAAGTACTTCATGTATCGGCCCACCTGGACTTCAGCTCATGCCTCCGGGTGGGTGACGCCCACGCGTACGTTCCTGGCGCTTACGTAGGCCATGGAACCATATCGCCTCAGTATTCTGAGGCGGCACCCTCAGGCCCAACTCACGAATCTTTCCCACGGCCCAATGACGGCCCGCAGGGGGAGCGGCACCTCGTGATACTCAAGGGCTACCCTTATCGCCTGCCAGGGGAGCTTGCTGAACGCGTTGACGATATCAAGGCTAACCGCCAATGCCACCCCTCCCCGGGTATCCTCCCCATCACGTCCGGGCGCGGTATTGTGGGAAGCCAGCCTTCGCACGGCTCGGTCCAGCTCTCCCTCTCTCTCTCTCTCTCTCTCTCTCCCTGGGCCTCTGATAAATTCACTCTTCGGCTTTATAATATTAATATAGATTGAAAAAAATTGCTGTTGTAGGAAAGAGTAACCAATATTGAACCGGCGTTTAAATTGGACCACTTCCGTATTTCAACCAAAATAGAACTATTTGGTAAAGAATATTGGCACAAAAAGGAGCGCTACAAAATGGCGAAGTATTAGTGGTGCTGCTAGTGCTCCTTTTCGTGTTGCTAGTGTAAAAAAAAGTGCCTAGTTGTTACAAAGGCCTTTATTTGCAATATTACCATATTGCGTCTACGACCAATATTGTAATTAATACTGTAATAATCCTTAAGCAACAGAGCTGATAAGAACCAAGCTGATAAACCAAATGTGAAAATGGATACTGGTATAAGTTAATAATTTTTATGTTAATGTGTCTAGTATTAGTTGCTATTTTTTATATCTATATTTTTTTTCATTTTTTTACCACGTAATACATTTTGTATTTTTAATAATGCACTTAGTTTACCTATAGTAGTTTGTTACACAAATAGGATAAGTATACTATAATAGAAATAGTGTATGGAAAGAACTTGTGTGCGTGATACGGGGACACGACATACGTCATATTGCCACCAGGAGTACTGAACAAAAATCACACTTTATCTAATTGAAACTACCAGTATAGAATATGTTAGTTGATCATTATAATCTCAGTTATAAGGGAATCATATAAAAAAGGAAGTTGAAGAAATAAGAATCTATCTTCACAAGCGGGATAGATATGTACGATACGTTTGCCAGCAATAAAAACTTGTCTATTCGTTCGAGTAGCTGACATGTTCGTGCTCTAAGAACAATATTTAAAATCGTTGTCATCCGTTTTGATATAAAAAAAGAAATTCTAGAATAATGCGTATTCAGCTGTTCTAATACAGGCAGAATGGATTACATTATTTTGAAGGAGTTTTCGAGAATAGAACAGAATTTAAGATCAGGGCCTTTTGTCGTCGGCATTAACTCGGTGACTCGTGTGATAGAAATAACTAAACTTATAGGCCACAATTTCATTTTTATGCATGGCTGACTTCAATACGATAGCCAGCAAAAAATATTTAAATAAACCTCTTAGAACTAGCGGTACAAACATCGTGGTTCAACGTCATCAGAGACTACTACTATGAAAAACGAATAATAAATTGTTACCAAGGAAGAATAGCAGATTCCATGGCAAATAAACTTTCAGTCAAATACAAGTCATGGTTTTCAAGATCGCAAATCACAACAATTAAGTAAAACTTTTTTCATTTCCTGAAATTTAAATTTGGAGGAGGTCATCTAACTACTGAAGACTACAAAAATGTATCGATAGTTGACTTTTAAAAAGAAATTTTGCTTGATTAAAATTGCGTTTAGTTAGATTATAGATGATATAAAACCATACCATATAATACTGAACTTATTTCACTTGCTTATTTTGTATATTTATTTATTTAAAAGCAAAAACCTTATAACTATACAGCAGTTTTTCTTTACTTAAGAACCTAAAGAATGTTAAACTAGTTAATAAGTGATTTTTCTGTAAATTTGTTTATTTGTATCTTTGAAGTAATTATTTTATTTCTCTTTATTTTTTATAGTCATGATTGTTTTTAATTTGTAGTAATGTCTAACCCCTATGGCTCTGTCTACTTAGATTTTTAAAGTTAAATTAAATTCAAATTAAGTTTTTGTTAAAAAGTAAATGAAATAATTTGGTCAAAAAAGTACCTATTGTAAAATGCACTTGAGTGTAGAAAAAGAAAAAAAATATTACAATAAAATGGCTAGTGAAGAAATTAGTTAGATAGATCTATAGGATTTTGTAACAATCCTTGAAATGGTAAAACGGAAATATTTTTTGAATGTATAACTTTATGAGCATTGTGGTTTTTCTCATGTTTTCTCGTAAATCCTCATTTTCATGATGACTATTGATTTATTTAAAGAACAACGACTAAAGTTAGTAAACTTTAGTCGATGTTCTTTAAATAGAACTCACTAAGTTAGCGTGTTAATGAAATCAATCGCTCGTTTCCAGCGGGAGCAGCTCGGGTTCGAGTTCGATGCAGCACTCGTTCTCGGTGGACGAGATACAGAAGATTCGCACGCGACTCAAGTCGTCGAAGTCGTGCGGCGACTCGCTCGGCGAGCGCGACGACGGCGACAACTCGTCGTCCGGCGTGTCCAGCGACCAGGAGGTGGCGCGCCCGCCGCCGCGCCGCGACAAGGTGTCCTTCTGCAGCTCCGTCACCGTCAAGTCGTCCAACGACGTCATCAGCACCGAGCCCGTGCACTCGTCCAGCGAGTCGCTGGCGCCGCCGCCGCCGCCCATGCAGCGCCACAACTCGCTCACGCGCAAGCGCGCCACGGCCGCGCTGCTGCGGGGCGCGGCGGGGGCGGGGGCGGGCGGCGTGCGCGGGCGCAGCGCGGCCGAGCGGCTGGGCGTGGGACGTGGCGCGCGCGCCCCGGGCGGCGCGGGCTGGGCGCGGGGCTGCTGGCGCAGCTGCCGCCGCCGCCCGAGGAGGGGGGCGCGGCGGGGGACGCGGCGCCGGTGCTGGCGCCGCCGCCGCAGTTCAGCGACCGCGTGCGCGTGGTGGCGGCGCTGCCCAAGCGCCTGGCGCACCTGCAGTAGCGCACTACCAAAGATTAGCGCGAGCCGCGAGCTCGATCCCGGCCGCGACGCTTCCGAACCCTCTGCGACGCAACCGAGTGCCATCGTGTCTATCGTTTTAGTCTATTTTTGTATGATATGTATCTGTAAATATGTATCCGGGGCCGTCCTCGGAGGGGTGGATCGACTCGTCGCCGCGGCGCCGTCCGCCCGCGTGTCCTATAGTATATTTATCGATGCGAATTATTTAAATTACCGGTATTTATAAATGTTGATGATTGTGCTGTGTTACCGTCGAAGTGTATAAGTTTATGCCGCCCGTCGGCCCCCGTAGGGCGGGTCCGGTCCGCTTCCCCGACCCGGCCGCCGCGACTTTTTTAAATTGAACGTTTCTCTTAGGAGTAGCGCTTACACGAAACTCACTAGCGTTTCATCCGTTCCATGATATGTAAAGATTTTATACTAATCGAAATACATCCGTGCGTCATTAGATATACTCACATAGTTTATATCGCAAAAATTGTAACACCAATTTTTATATTTCATTACTCAATTTTATATCTTATTCTATTGTAATTTAGATATCGTAATTGTGATTCTTCAGAGATATCTAAAAAATAATTGATGAATGAAAATAACTAAATTCTTAAATTTTATTTTTAAAAAGATTCGATTTTTAAATAGTGAATGACACCCCAAAAACTATATACAACCTAAATCTGTCGATCGTGCGACAGATGAACTGAAGTTAAAACATTCCATTCGTTCGTTAGCGCATTCGTACATGCGCATGCAGTCACAACACTACCTAATTAACATTCAGCCTTATACTTGCGAGCAGTCAGTATGAATAATTTATTGGACGTTAAGTTTATATTTGTTGTAGCACCCGCGAGTGTCGAGCCGCTGCTTCGTCGCCCAACGAACAGTATAATTCGTATTTCACCAACATATGTCAATACACATATGTCTGTCTCCCTCTCTCCTGCGCGAGGTACGGGCAAGCGCTCGCAACGTTACGTTAGCTGAATTTTAGCAGAATGTTATAATAGCAAGTCGCACATAGACGACTTTAGCCTTCACATGTATTATTAGCACAATCGATTTGTTTATTGACGTTTGTATTATTACTATTATTTGTTATAATCGTCTTGTCATTATTTTAAGTTGTATAAATATATCGTCTACTTAAGGCATAGGTAGGTAGTGGTAATTATTAGGGCAATATTTGATCGTGTAGGGTTGCAGACCGCGAGTGGGACAGCTCCTCGGTCAGTGCCGATCTTTATACTCACTAGTAACTCTATCACCGTTTTATTTCCATATTTAGCCAATGAAATTTAGTACAAATCATAATATAAGCTTTTGAAAAATAAATATGTTACAACAAACTATACTGTTAGGTTGCTACGAAATTCCTTATTTTTCTTTCTTTCTTTATGGCGTTACAGTAATGCCCTTATGCTCTATAATTCATACATCTTTTGATACAGTCATCAAACACATAAAATGTGTTCACCCTTAATTATCTACTAGTCTATGGTATTGTACAAGTCGAGTAAACATCAAGGTTAATGTAACCTAACGGTATACCGAGACGGTAAGTAAAGAGATCGGCGCGTGACCCGGGGCTGTGGTTTTGTATGATACATTGTGTTTCGCGTTTCATTTGAATCTCAGTATCGGACGTGTAACTACAACTTGGTATACTTTCAAATGAAATAATAAATGTTTCATCACTTATGTGTGCAGTTTTATTTGCTTTTTAGTGAACTATGGCATAGCATCCTGTAATGTTGTAATTTATGTGTCAAGAGAAGAAGAGAATACTTGTGGTTAAAGATGTCCTATCGCAAATATCCTGACACATACTACAATCTCATAACACACACTTTATGCGGGTTCACAGCTCCCAATATCAAATGTGTATTGTGTATTTTTAATATTACTATGTATATGAGAGAAATAAATTATTATTAGTATTGATATATCATCAAGGAAAGATGTTTATGGTACAAATATTTATTGCATTTTTTACATAATTCACATAAACAGGACATCTAAACAATATAACTGCATAAAATATATAATCTAAATACACTACAATTGTTATAATATGTAACAAATATAATTCTAGTTTTTTTTTTTAATAATGATATCAACCATTAAAATATTAAAGAAAGGAGCGAGTCTTACAGTAGTAGAATATGATAAATAACATCTGACACCTCACCTGCCACATTAAATAGCGTGCGCTTCCCCGGTTTCCTGTTACACATTTCCGTCCCTTTTAGGGAAATCACGCCCACAGCTTGCAGGAAAGATGTTACAAATCAAAAAAATAATTTTTAATGAAGGTGGGTTATAAACTGGTCACATTGTGAATCATAAATGCATTAGTAGGTACATCATAAGTAATACATACTTAACCTATACTCTTTCTTGTCGTAAAATTATACATAAATTCTCATCTATAAAACCTACACAAGTTCATCTTTACTTATAGTTGTATTTCAGCTTAAAGGCAAGGCTTCAAAACGTCACACTTGCACACTGTGAATTACTAATTGTTTGCATAATATTTGAATTATAAAGAGACTGCAAAATTGTTATTAACGACATCCTTGTTCTATACTAGGTCCCGAGCATTCACTACAGCAGCAGAACTCTCCTCTCTAGGTATAAGTGAGGTCGTGTTTAATACAAATGGTAGATATAAGTGCCTATTTAGGTATATGATATGCTTACTCCACATTTTATAAAACTCATCAAAAAACCACACAAGGCACACCTTAAGTCAGTAATATTACAAAGAGTAAATGATAACAAATGGAGAATACTTCTGACTGCTCAGGCAGTGAACACTATTACTTATGACATAGGCAAATGTTTACCAATTATCTGTATCTTTTAAGTTGAGATCTGACGAGAATCGAATTCGAGATCAAAACTGTTACAATAACTAACAAAATCAGGGAAATACTAAGTAAATAGTACCCAAAACTTAAATAAATTTGCCTATCAGGGGAAATAACGATAGTGTACTTATATGAATAAGGTATGGACCAGCAGCTTCCGAATACAATGGCTAACACGACGCTACATAGTCTCATGTGTATATAATACAGTGATAAGTATTATTAAATTATACGGAAATTAATCATAAAGAATACAAACATTATCTAATAGACAATACTTAAAACATATCATAATCGTTATCACAAGGCCACAATTAAATAGAAACCTTGGAGATAAAATCGGGGCATAATAAATAAAGCTTATCGTAAATGGACGGAATTCGTTGCATGATTTTAAATTTTATCGTAAACTAGTGACGAGGTCTTAATGATGACAATATGTGTGGATTTGTTGTCAACATTTACAGTCGTAATATCGTGTGCATAAAACAGTTACGCAAATTACACAAGAAAAACAACTTTTAATCTTACTTCTGTTCCATTCTAATCACAGTACAGTAATTTGGACAGATCTTGACCACATCACCATCATTATCACGTATCATTTTATTCCTTTCACTATATTAGTAAAGGTCATTAAAAAAAAAACATCACTAAATAGGTTTATTAGCAATGTTTGACTACTATACTGTGCATTAGTGGTTGTCAAACATTGCTAATAAATATTTTTATACAGTAAATTAAAATGCCAGAATCTGCTCAGGACTCACAAATAAAATCGCAAAAGTCTTTTATGCTGGGCAAATTGAAATGGGATTTGTTTGAGAATGGATAACAAACCATCATATAACCCCATCAGTACAGTCCCCCTCATCAATTAGTCCCCACTATTTAAATCCATATAAGCAGCAACATCGTCTATCTTGACGAGGCGACGCCAGTCAACGTTCTCGCCGCACATAAGGCACTTGCCTTCCTCTTGTAGGATCCTAGAACCATACTTACACAAGATATAACTTACCATCATATAGACAACTACGCTAGAAGAAAAAAAAAACAATGTATAGAAAGATAATCAAATAATAATAATATCACGGACATCTGACACACAACGCCATCTAGGTTCAAAGAAAGCAGAGCTTTTACTATGAAAGTAAGATTGACTGATAGAATTTTATAATTTTGTTTTACACCGAAAAAATATTTGCAGATTAAAAAAACATTCGTTTTTGCTAAGGAGTAGCACGAGTGTAAAGAAATTTTTGAAGAACTATCGACGTCGGGTTGCCTCCAGCCCAGCCCCATGACATTAGGTCACTTTTTCCCCAAATGTAAACAGCAGCAGCCTTTTAAAATCATCGAAAAAATGCATGTTTCCAAAAGCAGGAGACGGTGGGGGGTCGTTGGAAAAAATCTAGTGACGCACTGCTTTGTATGGATTTATATGGAAATAAATTTGGTTTTTTTTCCCGCGTTCCAGTTGCGGGGGTGGGGGACCGCAACCGGTCGCCCAGAGGAGTCGCGCGACACAGGCAAAAAGCCATTAAAAGGCGGTGTTTCCACCGAACCGCAACGAGAAATTGATTGAATTTTTTTAACAAAAACTACGTCTTCTTCTCGTGATGTGAAAAATTTAGTCATGTTCTTCTTTTTTTTTAAAAAATTTTATCATGATCTTCATCCTCCAACACTGCTGAAAAGCTTTTTTTCCTTTCTACGGCCAATTTTCGTACATATCGCACTGCAAAAAATACAACGCATCGCTGACATAGAAAGCTATGGGCCCCCCCGCGACCGGCACCTGGTCGCTTATCGCGGGTTGCGGGCGCTAAGAAAACCCAATGCTACCTTTTAAAATTACTATACAACCTACCCCGCCTTCCCATCTTCCAATTTTATTTGTCATATTGTTACGTTTAGGGTTTGCTACGCACTATAGCTCAACTGCTGTCTTCCCCCGGC